TATTAGGTTGGAACTAAAGTTCGCGCAATATTTTTCTTCTTTGTAATTTTCGGACCGGAAAACGGGCAAGAACCAAAATGTTTTTGGATGACCGGATATGCAATAAAATGCTCTATTCGATGTGTGGGACGGAATCGCGTTGCTTCCTATTAGAATTTTTTAGCTAGATTTAAGCGGAAAATGAAAAATCGCTTCGGCCCGCCTTTACAAAACAAAATTTGCTTCCTTTTTGGAAGCTTAATTCGGTACGCAGCCGATAGATATAACTGATTATCATAGTGATGATCAGTTCTTATCGTGACTTTATGGGGGTTTGGAAAGATGTCCGGTCAAAAATTTGAAGTGCTCCTCGAGAGAAACGCAAAAATCTTAAAAACTACTGGGGCTAAAAACCTGTAATTTTGGTCCCACATACTCATGAACCCAATAGATAAATGCGAAGAGGCCTATCGGAATCTGGCCACTAAATTTTCAGAAAGAAATTTCCAAAGTTCGATTGCGCGAACTTATGTTCCAACCTAATATTAATGTTATAACTTGAAAAGGGAAGTGAGTGTTACGAAACACTTCATAGTCTTCAAAGTACAGTGTGGTTATCATAATGTACAAAATACAGAAACTTACGAAGATGCGAATTTCAAAAACAAATTCTAGTTTTCAAACATACTGTCATTGTTGAGCTAGCTTACAGTATACTATAGAATCAAAGACTTACCTTCTCTTAAAGAAACACGAACACCCATCACACGTCCACAATCCATAGTGACGACGTAACTTCGGTCTCCACAAATCTCGCATAGTGCTTCGGTATTTGTCGAGCGAACTAGAAGGATAGCTGAAAGTTTTAAGAAAAAGCTAAAAACGGACCCATGCCACCGTAATCTCAAGAAGCACGCAGTACGGGGTCAGGGAATGACGAATTGTCAGGGAATGCCGGCGGGACTCGGGCGATACTCCAGCAAGGTACCCAATTATCCGGGTGTACATGGCGCGCCTTCTGATTCGGTGATTGTAACCCGAGAGTTGCTGCCTGGCAGTCGGCTACCCGCGCGTAACGCCGCTTCATTTGGTATTCTGGACAAACATTGGGGTCAGTCTTGGGGTTGTGGATTGGGAAACGACTCGGAAACTTGGGAAGAATGGATACGAGATTTTAGGGGGATTGATAAACTTAGGGACCTGAGCTGACCACGCATGGAGAGCAGACCTCGAAGGCTTTTTTTCGGAGGAGCTTGCCTCAGAGTGAGCCATACTATGGCTCTAGGAATCTGCGTACAAAACTAGGTTGAAACAAGGTTCAAAACAATTTTTTACCTGAGCGAGAGGGCAGAGAAAAAGTGAAAAAGTGAAAGTGATGTTGCCAGTTCATGATTGCTCCTGACTGCATCGTCGAGACTTCGAGACTTTATAATTTCATCCTCAAAAATTTCATTTTAAAATTTTCGTAACTCATGTTTCCTCCTGCATTCTTTAACTTGTAGAGCAGTTATCAACTTGGAACCGCGCCTGACACGATTCTATTCCTTCGAAATCGGGTTCCACGGGCCTTTAGCCTCGTTCATGGGTCAGTGATCTACTTTTTCTGGCCCAATTCCGGCTGCCAATCGCTGCCAATCAACTTGTTTCTCACCCCAACCGAGTAACCGCTGATACCAACCCCCAACCAAAGCTTTCTGTTTATCTCTCCTCATTCTCTCTCTCTATCTCTCTCGCTCTCTCTTGCTCGCTCTCGCTTGCTCTCGCTTGTTCTCTCTCTCACTCGCCTCCCAGCTTTTGTCTCCATTAATTTAAGGGGCCAGAGTCCCTCGCCCCTTACATACGCACACACCTCCTCGAAATAAAGTGGGCGGGGCTGAAAGTGCCCCCAGGGTGGGCGAGGGAGTGGAGGACGATCAAAATTCGATCAAAAGAAACACAAGGTGGCTCTTGTGTGCCCCCAAGACCAGGGAGGACCGGGCTAGCTTATCGCAACAACAGGCTTACACTCCAGCTCGATTTTTAGGACCAGCTTGCTGATTTTGTTTCATTAAAACGCACGTTCGAGCTTGAGAATCATCGTTTCTAGTGCCAAATTAGCCTGTGTTTATCTTTTCGTCTGGTATCTCAGGCGTAATTTTAATAGACGGATGCTAAAAGGGCCTATGCTTAGGCTGCTTTGTGCCTAAAGGGCGCTTTGAGCGTCTGATACCTCACTCACGCTTCCGCTAATGACATGACTTCTTCGCTCCCAACGATACCTTCGCTATGGCGGGTTTTTGATTTTCGGCTTACTGTAGCGCCATCTCTTAAGCCTCTGACGGTCATTGTGCCGGCACCAACCTAGCAACTATTCTGATCCGCCTGCAGTGTCAACTGTACAATTTTGTAATTTCCTCGGTTTTAAGGGCACTCTTTATGGCAAAATCATTAACGTGAGATCCTTAAGCGAATTTACCACATACTGATCGATCTGGACACCGATTTCCAATTTTTAATGAGTTCTTGAACTCAAACTTTCCGAATTTTCACGTTGTCCATCTGAATGTCGATGTTCATCAGAAAAAAGGTCCCTCATTGGGTAATTCCTCGCATTGCACTACCCCAGCACGAACATTAATGGAGCAGCGTCGCAAGGTGTCGGCACCCAGCGGTAGGGTCTAGCTTTACATTCCCGGTAACTTTAAATGCCCGTCTGTGGTGTTTTAAAAATATTTTACCGATTAGGTAATCCCTCCTAATTAACGTGAATTCGATGGAATTTGGACCTCCAATCATTTTCCCGCCACTCAGACGATCGGAAACCCCCACCCTCAGAGTACCCGATCACGTTTTACACTACGCGTCACCCGGGAGGGGGAATGGCCCACGGGGTATGCAGGATATCCGAGCGGCCGGGTGGGTTGTTGGCCCCAATATCGACACGATAGTAACGAAAACATTTGACTCGAGTTTCCAGCGAATCCAAGGCGTTCTTTTACCCGAATATAATGCTTTTCAGCTTTGAATAAATCAAATCTTGCCTCAACCTCCAATTAAAGCCAGGATTCGCCGCGATTTTCTAAAACGGTCTTCAACGCTCTTTTCGATATTTTTTTGCTATTCCTATTTACAACTCTGTTTTCTTGCCTTAGTTTTTTCTTTAGATTTTCCACTATGTCTTCAACTCCGTTTTCTTTCGTCGTCAAATTATTGCAGAAACGTGGAATTTTATAAAATTTGTAAATGCGTGTTCCCTAATTTCCTATTATCATTGAACGAGCGTTTATATCGGAAAACCTTTCTTTTTGCTATTTATTTTATGGATGTTTACTTCGACCATCGACGTCTTTCAGGTAGTTTGTCCTCCTCCAACGATGGATTTCGAACCAGAGACCCGGTATGGCGGCGCTCCAGGGCGAGGAGGAGTCTGTAAGTCTTAAAGCTAGGAAAATTCTTGATACTTACTGAAAATCTCTATTTAGCACGGCATGCCAATTTTCAGGAGGCCCAGCGCAAGGCCCAGGAGCGCGAACAGAAGAAGGCCGAGGTGCGCAAGCGGCTCGAGGAGTCCGGCAAGGCCGGCAAGAAGAAGAAGCAGGGTTTCTTGACTCCGGAAAGGAAGAAGAAGCTCAGGGTATGGAGAGAGAGATAGAGAGAGAGAGAGAGAGAGAGAGAGAGAGAGAGAGAGAGAGAGATCCCAACCTCAACCATTGTTTTAGAAATTGCTCATGACCAAGGCGGCCGAGGACCTCAAGCAGCAGCAGTTGAAGAAGGAGCAGGAGCGACAAAAGGTAGGAAAAACAATTTTGGGATTTAAAGGAATGGAGAGATGTGTTTCAGCAATTTTGGTTATGAACAAATTTATTTTTGGATTTCAGTTCCTCGCCGAACGCACGGTCTCCCTCCCCAACATCGACGGCACCGACGATCACGGTATTTTTTCAAGCTTTCACTTTAAAAATCGAATTTCCGGGTTATAGAAGATTTTTTTAATACCTACTATTTAAGCTTGTATCGTGATTTTCAGCCACGCTCGAGAAGTACTACAACGAGCTGTTCTCCCGATTGACCAAGCTGGAAGAGGAGAAGTACGACATCCTTCAGGTATGTTGAACTTGGAATCTTCTCTGTCTCTCTGTCTCTATCTTTCTCGTTATTTCTATTGCTCTCGCTCATCCTCCAAGCCTCTCAAACACTCAGGCTTCTAGCATTCGTTTTCGCTCGCCACAAACGAAAACCTTAGGGCTTTCAGACAAAGAAAATTCAAACATTTTGCATGATTCATAGAGATTCTTAATTTCCAACTACTGTGTTAAATTTTGATATTTTCTGAAGATTTTTGGGGCTAGCTGCTTAAAATAGGGAACTTTTCCTCTCCCTGCCATTTTTATCCAGCTGACCCAAAACCAGTTCCCGGTAGTCAGCTGTCAATCTTGGCAGCCACCCGCCCAATCACCTGGACCCAAAACAAAGTTTCGCGGGTAACTTGGGTTGGCAGCTGAGAGTTGTGGGCTCCATTTGTTACGGGAAGCTTACTATACTTGCTCGACGTCTTAGAAGATCAAAATTAGCATTAAACCCGAAATTTGTAGATCGTCCAATCCGCCGAGGCCGAGATCAACGAGCTGACGATCAACGTCAACGATCTCCGAGGCAAATTGTGAGTATTCTAAGGCCATTAAGTTTATTTTTCAGATGTATCTTTATATCTCGAATATTGATAGTACCTAAGTTACCGCTTGACATCTATTACGATTTTGCAGCGTCAAGCCCACCCTTAAGAAGGTGTCGAAGTATGACAACCGTTTCAAGAAGCTCGCCGAGATCAAGAAGACCGAGGGACAAGTAAGTGCAGTTTGGAAACTTCTGAGCAGTAATTTTTAGGCTGACTTCCGCAAGGAGCTAAAGACCGTCAAGAAGGAGAACGTCTTCACGCAGTTGGCCAATAAGGTGCGGTTTTGTTTCTTTTTTCTGTTTCTGAAGCATCTTTCAAGGATTTGGAAAGTTTTTGAAAAAAATTTTAGCAGTGGCTTCGTGGAGATGTGGACGTTACTTACCTTAAAGATTTGTTTTCAGAAGAAGGCCGACCAGAAGCCCGACTGGAAGGCCCAGAAGGCCGCCAAGAAAGCCGCCGACGAGAAGAAGGAGGAGCAGCCCAAGGAGGAGGAGGTGCCTGCCGAGGAGCCCGCTGCCGAGGAGCCAGGTGAGTCAGAGCTAAACCCCAGATTTAAGTTTAACCTAGACCTGAGCTTAAGAATTCTTTTGATCAGTTCTAACTTTCTTTTTTCAGAAGAAGAAGAGGAGGAGGAGGACGAGGAGGAAGAGGAAGAGTAAACCTCCACTAAATCACCACATCAAACTCACAACCATGCATTTCCCGTGCCCTCACTTTTCTAGTCCTTTTTGTACATGCGTCCAAAACCGCGGTTCCTTCCATCGTCAACGGCTTCTGCTTTCATGTTTGGTTCAGATAAATGTTTGGTGCGTATGGTTTTCAGGGGCGCATCCGGATCCAGGTATCGTTTTACGATTTAAGGCAGGGTTTAAGAGTGGTTGGAAGGCGAAAACAGGGAAACTCGGGCCATTAATGCTGTCATAGATTATTATGACGGTTCGTGCGTCATTTTTATGGAACTTTTCGAGTTTCCCCACTTTTTGCTAGAGTGTTCTGACCACTGTGATCCTTTTAAAGGTCCTGGCAGATCTGAAAGTTATCGATGGATTGACGGCTACTTCGGTATGTTTAATGAGCTGACGTCATCCGCTCAATTACTTTAGAACTTTTTGCAAGGACGTTTTCCATTCGGATTCCCTTTATGGCTATTTGAAATTAGATCGCCTTCAAAAATCACATTTTTGTTTGCATTCAAAAGCAACTTTTGTGCTGCTAATCCAATGCGCATTAATGATACCTGTAAAAAACAGACCATCCGTAGCAATTTCCCGGCATTGCAAGTACCTTTAAAATGACAAAGAGCGTACTTTTTTCTTTTGTCTTAATTTTTATTTTTTTCTGGAAACTTTGGAGACAGCCAACGAGCGGAAGAAGCAATTTTTTGGTAATGAAAACTTGAATTTCGGCTGAAAGTTCAGAGTTTTATTTTTCTCTTTAATCTTTAGCTATTTTGGTCTTATTCTCCATTTTCCAGACCTTGTTTGTTTCCTGATTTTTCATTTTCTTGAGACTTTGGAGACAGCCTGGCCAGAAACGACATTTGGCAGGGGTGTGTCTATGCGGGGGCTGTCGCCTGGGTGTGTCCCCCCCTAGGGCATTACAACAAAACCCACCCTCCCCGGCTCTTCCTCTCGAGTCTCAGCTTCTCCACCTCCACCTCCTCTACATCCCAGCCAGGGCCACTAAATGGCCAATATCGATCAGCCGGGGATCAGGCTCGGCTCTCCTCGGCCTGAGGACGCAACAGCTGAAATCCCGAGAACATAAAATGTGGGCATTAAAAAGTGGGGCCTCCGAATAGGGGATCCTGAGGAACGGTGGGCTATAAATTGTGTAGATTTATGGTGAAACCACATGTTTCGGTTTTCCGGTTTTTTAGAACCTCGTCACCATTCAAAAAGGCTGAAGTAACGAAGCTTAGGAAATGACTAAAATCAGAGTATTTTTGAGTGTAAAGCGGAGTGACACGGACTACAAAAGGCCTTTAAAAATCCAGAAATTATAAGATCCGGATGTAAAAGAAGAATCAGTGTAGGAAGAAGCTGCGTCTATGCATTAATGACCAGATGAGCTACCGCACGGACGCCGAGACCACTGAGAACCCTGGATTATCTTCGAAAATTGATAATACCATTCTTCAAGAGAGAAAAATTTTTATGCTAAAAACAAGAACGGGCCATACTGTTATACAATACGCATTAACGATAGAATACGTCAAGGGCGTCCTGCCTCTGATTCGTGTGGTAAGAAAATCGCGGTTTTATCGGTTTACCCTCCAAAAGTTTCTTCGGGGCTTTGCCGAGAGTATGAGCACTTGAAAACTAACTTCACTTTGCCTTTAAAAAACCTCAATTACACCTATTCTCCTCTTCTGAAAGCGTGCGAACTCCTTCACCTCCCTACCACACGAACATCTGGGCGGCTAGTCATAATGGACAGCCCATAAATCGTGTTTATGGGAAAACAAAGTCACCTCTACGAGGGTTGGACATTATTTGGCGGGAGCTGTCGGCGAACGCCTATAGGAATCCTGTTTATTAATGCATATTCTAATTTTCCCACGTGGTTTGACTACGATTTCAAAGTAACCAAAAATGACTGAATACTGGGTACTTTCAAGGGGGTAGTAATATCTTTATTAATGCGTTGTGGATATCTATCAAGGTGTCTTTCTACTTGTTCTTTTGTAGTTTAACTTCCTAATCCCTCCAAAGTAACCAGTAATCACCTGCCACCTCCTCCTCCGGCTGTCATGTTTTTCCACGCCAACCATCAGTCAGTGAAGTGACAGGTTTAGCGAGTGCGAAAGAGAACGAGAGAGAGAGAGAGCAGCGAGAGGGTGAGGGGGTTGCGAGCAGATTTGCGGGGTCTAGGATACAGAACCTTGAAAAGTTGACATCCGATACCGTGAAGGAGGGGGCCCGCCGACGGCCAGGAGACCCAATCAAAAGTATTCTCCGAGCTCCACATAGCATAACAGGCCCTTTTCTTTGTTTTGAGTGAATTTAGCCGTTTAAGTTTCTTAGCCACTGCATCCTATTCGACTATCGCGAACTTAATCAGCTCTGTCATCTTTCATCATTTCATTTCCAAATTTTTGCTCCGGGGCTACGGAACTCGAGCCCAGGTGACCTTGGCCCCAACATCAATTTCCCAAGGTTAGATGCCTAAGCTTTATCAAAAATGTGATTTTAAAACGATTAAACCGCACGGAAAAAAATTTAAATCACTCTCCAGTTTCTTGCGCCATTTTTACGCCAATCGGTTTACCACAGCTTTAGGCTTTTTCTATCGCAAAATCTGAGAAGATCCAAGCGCTTCTGATCTTCTTTTGGATGTTAATGGCGCATTCTAATAATCCTTAAAATCCGCGCATTCTAATGCTCACTTTCCTTTTTTGTAATCCTCATTCGAGTTTTACAAGACCAATGCCGTTTGGTTTCGTTCCCCCCGTGTACTTTGGCAGCTTTACCGGTGTGTTCAACTTTGCTTTTTTTTAGGATGGAGTTCGAGGATGCGCCCCGCTACGGCGGACCCCAGGCCGATGAGGCTGATGACGTTAGTACCCAAATTCTAGCAATAACCAGACATTCAGAAAGCCGCCAAGCGCGAGGAGCTCGAGCGCAAGAAGGCCGAGGTCCGAAAGCGGCTCGAGGAGTCCGGCAAGGCCGGCAAGAAGCAGAAGAAGGGTTTCTTGACGCCGGAAAGGAAGAAGAAGCTCAGGGTTAGGAAAAAAAGAAAAAAGAGCAAATTATTTCCAGAAATTGCTCATGATGAAGGCGGCCGAGGATTTGAAGCAGCAGCAGTTGATGAAGGAGCAGGAGCGACAAAAGGTGAGAGAG